ATAGCAATAAAGGCATCCTGCTGAAAGAATTATTTGAAGCATCTTGACAGACGTACGTATGATAGTATGAAAAAGTAAAAGCTAGAGTGGAATATTAGTTCATATCAGCAAATGAGAAACAGTTTTAATGTTGGAATTTATTGATAGCATCCTGATTCTCAAGGAGAAGTACACGAAGCTGACAAGGAAAAGCTAGGCACACTTAAAACTCCATCACCAATTGCTTGACCAGGAATTGAGCATTCTATCCTATTTTCATTAACTAACCAGTCTACTTAGTCTATTGTATTAGTACAACTTCCATATGACATAGACTGGACATTTTACTATCAATAAATAGGGAGACAAACAACAAAATAGTACACCGTAGAGGGCTTGTAGGCAAGCCTTATGAATCACTCTTCAATCTCCTAGTTTCCATTTCCCCCTCCATTCATTCTCATCAAGATCATGCCCTGGGAGTTCTTGGCCACTGCTCGCGCTTCTAGTTTCATCAGCCCTCTTACTACTGCGCATGATACTTGCCATTTCTTGTATCGTGCAGGAAGTGCTCCGCCTCATCCTATCAATGAGGACCTCAAGTTGATCCCTCAGACCATGCCTTGTCAGCCTATCCCTCAAAACCTCACAAGTAGCCTGGTAGGGTGGGATACCTCCATCCACCATCATCACAAAATAGCCGCAGGCCTCCTCTAATCTTCCCTTCTTGCAAGATAACCCATGGATCATGACAGCATAAGTTGCTGCGCCTGGGTGAAAGCCACGTGTTTCCATCCCGTCCCATACCTCAACAGCCTTATCAATCCTTCCTACACCAATCAACATTTTTAGTAACATGTTGTAAGAATGACGATCTGGCACACACAAGCCTTTATCCATTCTTGCAATAAGCCTCAAAGACTTGTTCACCTCATTCTTCTTACAATGTGCATTAAGCAGAGTGTTGTATGTCCAAACATCAGGCTTTTCCCCTCGCGTAATGATCTCACCAAGGATATTATAAGCCTCCTCAATCTCTCCCAGTTCGCACAATAACCGAATTATAGCATTATATGTGAATACATTTGGTGTGAGGTCATGCATGCGCATCCTATCTAGTACACGAAGAGCATCCCGAGCATCCTTGGATGCACAGGCAGCACGAAGGAATGGACCATAAGTAGCAGCATCTGGAACAAGCCCACGGCTCTGTTGCATATCTTTCAGATGTTCCTGCGCACGTGCAATATCACCTCCGCGGCATAAGGCATCAATCAATGCATTGTAGGCAGGCACATCAGGCTCAACACCTCTCTCAACCATTTCATCAAATAACTTTTGCGCGTTTTCCGGCTTTTCCACAACAGCCCACCCAGAGATCAGGATGGTGTAGGTCTTGGCTGAGACATCGAAATGGGTCCCCGACTCTTTGAAGAAGACCTCAGCATGATTTACAAGGCCATTATGGCACAAGGCGAATAGCAGCGAGTGGAAATCGGCCAGCGTTGGTTGGAAGCCGAACCCCGCCATGGAGGAGAAGGCCCGGATCGCATCATCCGGGAGAAGCGCACGTGAGTAAGCACGGAACAACCGCGGGAAGAGGTCCCGCGAGAGCGCAGCCGGTGGGAGGTCAGACAGCAGCGAGCGCAGGAGCGGGAAGAGCCGCGCACCAGCGAGCGAATTGGCCAGGATGAGGAGCGAATCCGGCAGGTGAGAGAACCCGGGCAGCCCCGCGGCAAAGAGGAAGAACCGGAGAGACGGCACGGGGAGGTGGCGGCACCGGCGCAGCACCGCGGCCGCCGCGTCGGGGGTGATGCGCGGCGCGAAGCCGCGGAGCGCGGCGGGGAGGTCGTGGCGCGGGCCACGGAAGTCGCTGAGCACGCGGCTAAGCGTGCTCACGAGCCCTGGGTCGACGTCTGGGCCCGGATCCGGGGACGGATCGTGGGGCGAGGCGGTGCGGAAGCGGGGGAGGGGGAGGGGGCGCCAGCTGCGAGGCGCGAGGCGGCGTGCCGCGGCGAGCGATCTCGCGGCGGCTTGCATCGGTGGGGCTGCGGTAACAGCGGATTCGCGAGTAACGTAAGGATGCACGCGTGCTAGAAAGCAATAAATGGATGTGAGAGCAGGGGGGGTGAAGGGGCTTACCGAGGAAGTTAGGGTCGCCGGGGGAAGAGGAGGTCGCCGCCGGCCGGTGGATTCGGAGGAGGTCGCGGTCGAAACGAAGGGAGAGGAGGGACTGAATGGGGAAGTGAAACGAGTCAGGAAACTTGGGCTTGTAGAAGGACAACAATACGGCGACGGTGAGACGAGGTAGGTCCATGGACCTTGTGCCTGTGTACGAAATCACTAATTGAGGATTCTAATTTAAAAAAAAAGAAACTAATTGAGAGTACTCGTTGCAGAGATCACTCACATCTTTTCACAAGTGACGCACTGTCGCAACATGAGAGTTTTCTATTTTTCCGTAGATCCGTTTATTTACAACATTTTATCTCTTAAACCGTGCGTTCAAATCTTGGATTCCTTGCTCCGAGATCCTCAAAACTAGATCCAGTGTTAATAGGTTTGACAAACTTTTTTTTTCAAAAACCACACGAAAAAAATGGAGCACGGTTAATGTGACGCATTGGCTAGTAGAGCTTATTAAAGTGTCAAAATCCGATGAGACGTCAGTCAACAATATTAGCTTTTATTTTTGTTTTAAATTGTTAATACGTGAAATGCTAATCTAACAAAATAAAATGTTGTAGTTTTTGTTGTGCACTGTACATGCTGAAGAACATCGAATTATTTACGGGAGAAAATATGAGAATGCAATATGACCAAGTACATAGAGTAACACCTAAAATTATGTCATTTTCTGAAACTTATGAAATGATACTAACATATCTTCGCATGCAGTCCTACATCGACAAATTCAGAAGAGAGCTATCTGTTGTGCTTGTCGATTCACCCTACAACAAAATGAAATACAGGAAAATGTTCAAGCAATACCATGATAGGCTATCAGATGCAGCTGTGGTTGAAGACGATGAAGATGCAAGCAATTATTCGAGCAGTGTGGTTCATTCTTACATGTGGAGTGTACCCTTGGCCATAAAGCGATAGAGTAGGGCGTGGTTGGGTTTTAGTCCCGAAAAAGGATTTCTAGCAGTGTTCTTAGTCCATTGCAGATGAGTCAAATTGTAAAACTTCAATAATATCGGTTACAATACTTTGCTTGAAATAAATTTGGTCTCTACGGGAGCTCATAGAAATCTATATTTGCTTTTTACAACCATGTGATAGTAACAGTGTCTGGGCAAGGTTCAGACCAATTATAGTGCACGAGCAACCCTAGAATAATAATGGGTTATGATATGTTTATTTTCATACAAGAGAAGCATGAGCATAGCCTCACAATAGAAGGAAAAATAATGCATGAGTCAACACAGAATCTCAGCTATCCCAGGAAATGACACAACTAATGTCTCGTAGGCAGGCCGCAAAGTCAATAAAAGAGAGTATAGGATAACAAGAGTAAAGCACGTACCATAGGGGGCCTCTGCAGGTGCTGCAACGACCATGGTGTGGCATGGTAGGGCGTGCGCTGAATTGAAGGGATCACCTTCAGAAGCACAATGGGGTGGCCATGGTACATCCATCCTGCCTCAGGGAATCACATAGCATGTTCTATCATAACCCTGCAAAAACAGAGAAAAAATTACTACTTGTACTAACCTTGTCAAATGTGTACATGTAACAAACGTTGGGCATAACTAAACACAGAAGAACGGAATGCAACATATGCAAGAATCGAATGCTTATTCTTTTCTCTTTGCTTTTTGCGAGGATCATTACTCTGTCTTTAACAAGGCTAAAACATCATAATAAGAATTAACACTAATCTTCAAACGGTGGATATCCCATGTGAATTTAAATTTTTTTATAAAGCGCATGCCAAATCTGTTGATCCCAGTCCAGCAATTGCACAAGAAGAAGCGATCATTGTAAATATTGAGTAACATAAGCTATGAATTGTTTATAGTACATTTCAAAATTATTAGATTTATCATCTCTCTTGATCTCCAAATCTCACCCATCAGCCAATTGAAAGAATAAATGTTGAATTAAATGTATAAGTGTATGAATGCAAGGATTGAACTTTCATAGATCTTGCAGTCGGGGCTGGACGAATGGGGTTGGCCATTGAGGCCGTCCGGCTTCATCCAGTCCCGCAGTACCCCGTCAGCAACGAGCCTTCGGATTAGATGCATGGCTAGATCAAAGTTGCGCCCATGACGAAGAGGTGATGTAGAGGACGCAAACAACCAAATGAGGTGTGGGAAAAATGTTGCCTATAACCTTGTGGCTATAGGCACCCGCATGGAGGACTGGGAGGTGGGATGGCGCCGAATCTTTGCCGGTGGCCGCCGCAGGGAGGGCATTGAAAAGGTGGTGCGAGATTGCGAGGGAATTGGGGTGGGGGAGGGAGGGGCCGCGACGTGCGGCTAGATCCTGCCCGCGAGGAGTAAAATCCTAGTGGTGGCGAGGAATAAACCCTAGCGAACGGGATAAAATCGAACTGAAAATACTCCTCAAATTCGTACCGAGAATACCCTTCAAATATTTGCGAGGGAAAATTTGATCGGTTCAAAATAATTTTTTCTTCTGAAAATGCCCTTCGACTTTTAATATAATACACGTGACATCTGAATCTGGACCATCGAATCAGCTCCGACGGACGGTCCACATCAACCGGATGGAGCGTAAAAGGACTCCTATAATATAGTCATTTTAATGTTGGAAAGTCTAATGCTCGGGATTCTCGCAAAGAAGAACTATGATTTATGAAGACGGTATACTCCTGCTGGTACATTCAAGTACCTCATTTGGTATAATATACTCCGATCTCATCTCCACTAACCTCTCTCTCACTCTCCTCCATTTGGAAACTAGTCGCCAGATCCAAGTCTGAGCCCCCATTCCTCTGAGCAACGAACGATCTACCTAAAGATAAAGATAGCCAAGCTTCCTCGGCTGCCATGGGTGCCTCCACACCTCGCCACCATTCCAGCTCCTGGCGGCAGAAGCTTCCACGCCTCACCAAGAAGATCCTCACATTGTCGCTCTACGCCCTCGTCCCTCTCGCCGTCCTCCACTACCTCCTCTCCCCTCCTCCCGTCGCCGTCCCCTCCTCCACATCCACCTCGCCGCCCCACGGTAACCATCTCAAAGACTCGAGACCCGCTGATCCATCGCCATTGTGGATGCGGGACGGCACAATGACGCTATTTTTGTTGTTCTTGGTTTGTAGATGGGAATAAGCAGCAGGGTGCTGCAGGGGCGGCCTCAAGAAAGCAGGGGTCAACGGCACCGGCGCCGCGGTGCGACTACGCGGAGGGGCAATGGGTGCGGGACGCGGCGGGGCCGCGGTACAACGGGACGAGCTGCGGCGCGACGATCAAAGACGGGCAGAACTGCATGGCGAACGGGCGACCGGACACGGGGTACCTGAACTGGCGGTGGCAGCCGCGCGGGTGCGCGCTCCCGCCGTTCGCGCCCGCGGAGTTCCTGGAGCAGGTGCGCGGCCGGCACGTCGCGTTCGTCGGGGACTCGCTCGCGCGGAACCAGTGCGAGTCGCTGGTGTGCCTCCTCGGCTCGGAGTTCCCCGCAGAGCTGGTCCTCGACGGCGGCGAGGAGCGCAAGTTCCGGCGGTGGGCGTTCAGGTCCCACAACGCGACGGTGTCGGTGTTCTGGTCGCCGTTCCTGGTGAACGGCACGGAGAAGTCGTCGGCGCCGGGCGGGCCCGACCACAACAAGCTGTACCTCGACCAGCCGGACGAGCGGTGGGTGGCGGAGCTCCCGGGCATCGACGTGGTGGTGCTCTCCATCGGGCACTGGTTCATGCACCCAGCCATGTACTACGAGCACGGCGCGGTGATCGGGTGCCACCACTGCCCGGAGCCGAACCGCACGAACACGGGCTTCTTCGGCGTGTTTCGCCTCGCCGTCAAGAACGCGCTCCGCGAGGTCATCGCCCGGGCAAGGGCCAGTCCCGGGAGGGAGAAGCTGGCGATGGTTGCGACGTTCTCGCCGGCGCACTTCGACGGGGAGTGGGACAGCCCGGACGCGTGCGCGCGCACGGAGCCGTACGCGCCGGGGGAGAAGGAGATGCTGTACATGGACAGAGAGATGTGGCGGACGGAGGCGGAGGAGGCCGCGACGGCGGCCGCGGAGGCCACGGTGCGCGGGTCGGCAGTGACGGTGGAGGCGCTCGAGGTGACGAGGCTGGCGGACATGCGCGCCGACGGGCACCCGGGCGCGTACATGAACGCGTCCCTGTTAGCCGGCGCCGGCGGTGAGAAGAAGAGGGAGCGGGTGCCGAACGACTGCGTGCACTGGTGCCTCCCGGGCCCCATCGACACGTGGAACGAGATCCTGCTGCAGATGGTCAGGCGATGGAGCGACGCCTCCTCGTCGGCCAGAGGATACCACTGAAACTCGACCGTAGTTTGGCACCAGTAGTGGTTACTCTTCATACATTCGAAAAACTGAAACGAAAGATACAGAAATTCCGCATATGTTTGTAGAAATTCATACGAAAACATCGGTTTGTCCATCAGTGATTCTGTGCTTGGTTGGTGCTTGGTGGTGAGTGCATCGGCGCTCCGCGGGCGACAAGGCTCGTGATACGGCGTCAAATGCGGATCGTGGGGAGGTGTAGCGCGGTTTGCATTTTCCATTCCATTCAACAATGGTTCCCCAGAAAAGAAGGGCATAGCCATTCAATAATTTCAAGAGTACGACGCATAGAGAGAGTGGCAGGAGCAGGTACACCCGCAGATCGATCCTAGTGAGCCAGGCCGGTGGTGGCGTGGTGCGGAGTTGACGCCGTTGCGGATCCCGGGTGCGGCGTGGCCTCTGCCCACACGGTACCCAAGGAGCACAACCACCGACAGTGTTCAAGGAGTACGCAGTTAAAAAATCCGTAGACGGAAACAACGTTGAGTAAAAATACAGTAATAAAAATTTCGAAACACTGAAAGAGTTTTCAACTCAAGGAGTACAATCACCGACAGTGCATTGCAATAAACTTGAGAGCAGGTTCCAGATTCCCCTGATGAACTCGTTGAACTGCGCGAACGGAAACAAAGAAATGTCGTATGATGCCCTTGTTAAATATGATTGTCCATTTCAGGTTGGTCAAAAGTCACGGCAAGCCCTGCAAATAACCAGTCACGAAGATCTGTGCAACTGAATGTGCTTTCATAGTGGCACTCCCACGTGAGAGGCAAGCTTTAAAATATGACAACTTTTTCAGACTTAGACTGGTCATAGTGGGGAGTAACTTAGAGTAGTAACATGCATACTTTACTGCTCTATGTTACTATCCTTATAGTGGGAAGTGTCATATATGTAGTAATATACATATGCTCATTTATTGTCTTGTAGACTCATTTTACATTGAAAGGCGCTATGTGATGGTGCGTCTTTGATTACATCAACAATAACATCACCAATACGAGCATATCGCTGATTACCAGCAGCTCCTATGACTCGAATACACATCAATTTTCGAGCTCCACTATTATCTGCTACATTTAAAAGGGTCTGAGGTTGAATCATATTATTTTGATTTCAATTTGTTATTTCAATGCAACAGGATGAAAGAAATATTGTCTTTCCAGAAAGAAAAACCAGGCATTTTTTTTATCTTCCATACCCCTTTTAGGGTTCTATATCTCCAATCATATTAGGTTACTCTATTTTCCTCTCTCCTCATTAACTACTTGCCACATCAATATTTTTGCTTATGTGGCATCTATGTTACTACCTATGTTACTCCCACTATGACCAGCCTTAGACAATTATATATATTAGAGAAAAGTACATTTTTCATCGTTCAACTCTTGACGGAGTCTAGATTTAGTCCTTCAACTATAAAACCAGACAACTTGCACCTTAAACTTTTAATACTGGACAAATTTCGTCCCTCAACATAACTGAAGCGGTTTTCGAGCTGACTTGCATGTTTTTGACTGGCCATAGTCCAGGTGGCAGTATTTTTCTATCCTACTCGTCCTATCTCTTCTTCTCTCCTTACCTCTCCTTATCTCTCTAACTGGCATTTCATCAAGCACTTAGAGTGCACCGGCTGGACAAGCGCTCCGGTGGCATGCTAGGATGTCGACAACGATGATGCCGAGCCAACGCTCGAGGGGCTCTGAAACGGCCGTGTCTCGGTCGCTATGTCGGTCAGTGTCCTTGTTCCTGTGCCGGCTGGTGTCCTCGTCGGGAGCAGCATGGGTTGGTCGTAGCGGCATAGGCATCCACCACGGCTCGCCATGTCCAGATGCTCCACCTCGCCGTCCTAGTAAACCACACCAAAGGAAAAAGACGCCGGAGGCCCTAAATCGCCGACGCCCAAATCGTATTCCACGACTCCGGTGACTGCCGCCGCGCCGCGAGATCCTTGTCCGGCAAGCTCCAGTTCTTCCTATCAGCTTCCTAAGCTCCCCATGGTCCTAGTGAAGCCTCGCACGTCCTCCCCAAGAAGCCCCTTCTCCACGAGGTCACCCAGTCCGCGAGCCCGCGCTCTACCACCCGCTGCCGTCGACGCAACCGTCGCTTCGGTGCTTATCCGCCGCGTCTGAGCACGCGTACGTGCTATAGGTGAGCCCACTGTCATTTCTCCCCTCTCCATGAGCCACCCCATGTCATCTAGCTCACTGCCCGCATAGCGTTGCCCGTCGCCTCCACTGGACGTCGGCGGCGGCGAAGCTCTGGCCATTACGCGTGCCCCTGCTTGCTTTTCCAACCGCGCGGACACCCAGCTCGCTCCAGGCATTTTTGCAGTCTCTCCTCGCTAGCACCCGCATCATCCAGAGCACTGCCGCCGGCGCAAGCTAGTTTTTTCCCGAACCAAAGAGCGATTTACCATCTCTTTTCCCATGTTGGCTTGGCTGGTCAAAGCCAGTCACACTACAAGAAAAAGACACATCGTGACATTTTGGTCCGAACAAATTTTTTTGTGTCATGCTTATGACACTTCTATGACGATAATTGTGAGAAAAACACGTATCATCATAGATGTGGTGGGCTCCTACTTCTATGACAAAAAATCATGACAGAAAATGGGTTTTTCGTCCTGGGCGGGCCGGAGACGTAGCTGCATGACATTCTTTGGGCCGTCCATGACGAAAAAATCATGGTAGAAGTGAGGGCGAGTAAAATATCATGGAGTTCCCGCTTACGGTGGGTGATCGGGGCCGAGCGATGCATGGAGGGATTGCGCATTTTTCTCGTACATGTACGCGCGTGTGTGCGAGGCGTTAGGCTCTAACTGAACCCGAGCGAGGCGTTCACTTACTGAACCCGAGCGATTGCACTGGCTACGCGTTACTGAACCCGAGCGATCTATCGATCCCTGACTGGTAACCGAACTCGATCGAGCGATTCCTTCGCTACTGCTGCTAACTGAAGCCGATCGAACCTGCTGCCTCTTGATGAACAATCAGAGTTGTTGGGGGTTGGATGAATAGTTTCCGGTGGGGGTTGGATGAACAGAACCCCTTGGTAGTAGTAGGTTGTTGCCGCTAGATGAACATGACCCTGTGGTAGTAGTAGGCAGTTGCCGCTGGATGAACAGGACCCCAAGGGAGGCCGTGAAGGGTGGATGAACAGACCACATGGAGGCTCCATGAACAGTAGTCGGTGGAGGGTTGATGAACAAGACCCCGAGGGAGGCCGTGAAGGGTGGATGAACAGACCACATGGAGGCTCCACGAACAGTAGTTGGTGGAGGGTTGATGAACAGGACCCCGTGGAGGGCTGGTTGAATAGTAGCCGGTGGAGGCTGGATGAACAGGACCCCCATGGATGAACAATAGCTGGTGGAGGCTGGAGGAAGTCGACGGTGGATGAACAATAGCAGGTGGAGGCTGGAGGAAGTCAACGGTGCATGAACAGTAGCCGGTGGAGGCTGGAGCGAGGCAGTAGACAGTGGATGAACAGTAGCCTGTGGAGTCCCGTTTTGCGGTACCCCACACCGCTCCCGATGAACAGGACCCCGTTTCGACCGTAGGCGCTCCAACACAAGTTCATTTCCTCTGTTTTGCGGTACGCCACACCCCTCCCGATCAACAACACCCCATTTTGACCGTAGGCACTCGAATAAAAAGGTCGTTTCCTCCGTTCTGGGGTTCGCTAGACCCTTCCCGATGAACAGGACCCCATTTCGACCATACGCAGTCGAACAGATGCCCGTTTCCTCCGTTTTGCGGTATGCTAGACCCCGTTCCAACTATTCCATCGAAGCCGGTTGGCTCCCGATGAACATGATGTGTTCCGACCCAGTGGCTTCGCTCTCGATGATCAGGACGCGTTTCGACCTAGTCGTTTGGCTCCCGGTGAACACGATGCTATTTCCTTTGTTCTGACCCAGCCGGTTAGCTACCGATGAACAGGACGATGTCGCTGCCGTCTGTTGCCTCTCCATGTACATGAGCTCTAGCCATAAGTATGCGCGTGTACATGTTCGAGACCCTGCCCGTATGTACATACGTAGCCGTATTTACTTTCTTGCAGTGTGGCTGTACGTACGTGTACATGATTTATACATGACTGCCTCAACTGCTACGTCACACGTGCCGCTCCTTACTCGGCCATGGTTCATCCTTGCGGAGAGACCGATCGACCAATATATACGTACACATTCGCTACCAGAGAGACAACCCTACGTACAGTTCGACCCGGTGGGTCCCAGCTGTCAGGGAGGATAATGAGGCACTTCCTTGCATGCGAAGATATAGCTGATGGTCCCAGCTATGAGGGGGAGGAATCATTTTTTTGCCCGTAATAAGGACTCACTTCCTTGCGTGCGAAGATGTAGCTGGTGGGTCCTAGCTGTCAGCGGGAGAAAACATTATTTTCCAGGGCCAAAAGGATGCAGTTGCATGCATGCGTCCATGGGCGTGGTGCGTCCCCACTGTCAGCATCTCACGTACAGTCATCTTCCGATGACTCTCGTTTGTTAACCATGTTGACCACACCGTGCCGCGCACACCAAGGCCGATGGACGACGGCGAGGCCCTAGACTTGAACGACTCGGATATGGGAAAGACGCGATAGTGGAGTCGCAGGTAGAGAGGAGTGGGAAACTTGACTGGTTCAGGTGCGCGGCAGCACTGCCGCCCACGGGAGATAGGAGCAAGAACATAGGTTGAAGAAGCAGCACGACTGTTGGATTAACATCCTATGATCCATCTGCTAGAATCATTTATTGATTAAGTTGACAAAGCCCTGCATATGCGTCAGCATGGTAGGCCCACAAGTCAGCCACCAAATCTGTCGGGTCCCAGCTATCATCGGGAGGAATAGTTTTTTCGCATAACAAGGAGGCACTAACTTCTGTGTGAAGATACAGCCGATGGATCCCAGCTGTCAGCAGGAGAAATCTTTTTTTCACGTAATAAGGAGGCACTTGCTTGTGTAGGTCC